GGTATGTAGGAGTCGAGAGGTGTGTAGCTCAGGATGCAGGGAGGGGCTGTGTCCAAGGAGGTGCTGCTGCTGCGGGGCCAGCCATACGCTCAATCCCTAGTTGGCACAGTGGGGGCAGCTCTGCGGGTCAGTGGCTGGGGTGGGGGCATGCGCTGCCCACCCACTTCTGCAATGGGTGAGGGGAAGGGAACACCCTGATATCAGCCCCCACCCTGTTCTACGCAGCATATCAGCGGGTGAGGAGCGATGCCAGCGGTGGCCCCATGGTGGGGGGCAGGGCAGCATGGCTGCAAACAACAGCGGAGCAGGGCAGCAGGGGCAGGAAGGGCAACATCTTGCCTTCTTCTGCACATTTCACCCAAATCGGGTACAAAACTAGCGGGAGCAGGGGGAGGCCTTCCCTAAATGGTGCCCCGGGGTAACAATACTTTGTTTCTGCACAGAAACATGAAAGCAGCTGTGAGCTCCATTGTGGCTGCCTCAGTTATACCCTCACTTGCAAATTCAGTCAGGTTTCTAAGCCTGGGTGTTTGGGATTTGCGCTGCCATTCTGGCTCCTGCACGGGAGCCTGCTCCACAGGGAAAGGTCTGGACGCTCAGGCACAAGAGAAGGGACCTCATGATGGGGAGGTCTGGGAGTCGAGGGGAGCAGAGAGAGGGTTGACAGGCCATGGAGCACTGATGTGGGTGTTACACACTGTGCAGCCAAGCTGGGACTGAACCCAACTCCTCTGACAACACCACAAACCAAACGGCTTTGTCAAAGGACCAAGGGAAAGGGAAAGATGTATCCACGTGAGCTCACTGAAACATATAACAAACAAACATGTATGTCCCCTGGTCTAGGAACACCCTGAGTGGATTTCACATATGGCAGTGACCATTTATTTTATTTATATTTCATTAAAATAAAAGAAGGAAGGGAGTTTTATGGAAAAGAAATAACAAAACAGCCCCCGCATGCCAGTCAAAACACTCACAGGCACGTTTGTGATACACCACAACAACCAGCTATTTTTATTAAAGAGAGAAGAATAAGCTATAAGGGGGGACACAAGGGCTCCCTTGTGGATTTTTTCCAGCTTGCGAGAAACTTTGCAGCCCAGATGAAAAGCATCCAAGGATTTTAGAAGCAAGGTGTCGTCTGCCAGATTCTCTGCGATCCTGCTTTGACAGTATCTTCTGCCATCACTCACTCTCTCTGCTGCAAAAAGGGAAGAAACTCTCACATTCTATATTTATAGCCATTAAAAGAAGGACAATATTATGTTACATTAAAATTCAAGGTAGAACAGGAATTTCCCCATCATTTAGTAGCATGTGCCTATGTAATACCAACAAACATTGGTTGTTGTTGGGTGGGATCGAACCTTGGGAACTTAGTGCATGAGCCTCTATCTCATGAGCTTAAAGCCAACTGGCCATTAGCTAAGGTTGTAGAACAGACTCAATTTATCTATTATATCTAAACATGTACTGGCTGCCCACTTGGCTTCTGAAGTAAATATGCCAGACTTCTGAACATGGACCTCCCCTCCCTTTGCCCCTAACTCTCCAGTAAAGAAGGCAGATTCTCATTTTCTTTAAAAAGTCCATCCTATTAACATTCTACACAGTTCAAGTGACAACCACCAAAAATAAAGTCGCTGGGTGATTGAAAAAAGAACCCCAGCAAATTAATTATAAAAACTGCTGGAAATATCATGTACCATATCATGGAAATGTTCATCAAACTTTTTTAAAAAGTTGAAATTCAAAATTACATTGAGGGAATTAATCCAAATTGTGAATTTTAAAAATATTGACTATCTCTATGAAAGTAGCATCAATCCTTAAAGTGCACCAGTGCTTATTGAATTGCATTGAAGAGTGAGCACATCTGATAATATACATGTGTGACCCAGTGGTCAGTGTGAATTCCCCTCGGTGGAGGTTGAGAGTCTGTTACAGGCTCCA